ACAGTAGAAGAGAAGAGGTGACATGGTGGTGAAACCAGCTGGGAATTTTTCATCTGTTAAATTTTTACAAATGATTGTGTCAGTTCAGCAGAAACGGACACTTTGCAGGGAGGTCCCTGTGTGGGCAAAGCTCTATTGAGGAACGTGGCTCAGGTCTGCAATGAGATTTCTGCTGGAGGAATGGACTGATGTCTACCCTAGCATAGCTGATAGTCCAGAGGTTGGGAATTCACTTGGGATGTAGGGGCCAGGTTCAAATCCATGAGATGAATCAGGCAGACTTTGAGCCTTTCTCTCTCGCATATTGGGTATGTGCTCTAATTACTGGGCTGCTGGGTGTTTTAGAGCAGTGTGTGCCTCCTCCTGATGTACGATGGGAAACTTTCTAAAATTCTCAACTGTGTATGGGGTGAGAAAACTATCTTCTTCATTTACTGCCATTAAAGGGAGACTGGGGTTAAAAGGAAAGATTTTGAAGCAGTTCTTTTCCTGTGTTCATACTTTAGACTTCACTATTCAGAACACTGTTGCACAATGCCATGCCCAAGCGATCTTATCTTTTCTTTTCTTCTTTTCCGAAAGCATTTGACTTTGTGTTGTACTTGGAACAGTTTTGCAGTTTAGGTCACAAACCCTAAAAGGGGTTTATAATTTATACTTACACATTTCTCTTGTTCCCTGTGGAATTAATAATACACAAAGAAAATCTGAGACTCTCATTAACGAATCAGTAACATACAGCGGAGCACTGAAACCTTTCAGAACCTATCAGTTAAGAGTTAAACATTATTAATTGTTCAGCAGTACAGCTAATAGTAGCTGCATGTTTGAGTAATACAGTGAATAACTTCAGTTTGCCTCTTCTGCCTTTTGGTTGTCCTTTGTCCCACTGGTACAAGGACAAACAAACCTTGTTTTTTTGGCAGGGGAAACACTTGAGAGCTGGGTGTATGTTTAAAGTAACAAAAGAAACAAATTCTGCTACATGGTAACCTCATGGGGAACTCTGGAAATCATAAGCATTGTGAATGGATGGTGCAATAGAGGACAGTGCCCTTGCTCTAGCAGGCTGCTCTAGGGAGCGAAGCTTAAGTTCCCCAGTGAGTCTGACTGCCATAGACCTACTCTGGAGCCAGGAGAGTAACTCAGCTTTCTTGAGGGTCCTGTTCTCCAACTGGGCTTGACTAATTCCCAGAGATGAACATACTGCTCCTGTTACTCTTCAGGCAGGTATAATAGAGGAAATGTTAGAGGACACCTTTGAAAGTATGGAAGACCAAGAGGAAATGGAAGAGGAGGCAGAGATGGAAATTGATAAAATCCTGTTTGAGATCACAGCTGGTAAGTGTATGCGCTTTGTGTGTGTGTGTGGGTCCAAAATAGCGCACAAATGCCTGAAGTGGCAGAAGGTAGGTGCCAAAGTCTCCACGAGCGGTCAACAAAAGCAGTTTTTATGTGTAGGTGCTCCCCCACCAACCCCTGCATCCACCTGCAAGTTGCTTAGTGCTAAAAGTTCTGCTACCAGGCATGTCCAGAGGTACCACCAGCTATTTGGGATTGACTGTGCAGCTAGGAACGCAGTACTCATGGATCTGGAGGGTGTCAAAATGGAGCCTGATCCTGTAGCTCAGCAACACAGACATGTCCCTGGGAAGATTCTGAATTGTTCCCTGCTCCTGAGGATGTTTCTGAAGCTTATTAAGCAGGGACCAAACCCCACAACTAGCAACAGCTCTTCCTAGTGACGTGGACTTCATCAGAGCTATGCAGGCAGGCTCACATTTGTTTATGCTCTGTGCATCTTTCCAGGCTCAGCAAGGCTACGGGGGTGGCATCTGGTTAGCGTGTTCTCTCTGAATAGGCTGGTTTGAAGGCCCTTAAAAGCAGAGGGCCTGGAACTGAGGTCACCCATTTCCTGGGCATGTGCTGTAACCTTTAGGCTATTACATGAAAGACAAGTGCCCCCATCCTCTCTGCAGCCAAGTAATTTCCTGTCACTTTTTGTCTTTGATGTTTAGAAAGCCACTCTGTATCAGCGTCCCACAAGTATTGGCTCACGGCTGTAGGTAGATGCTGGAGGCCAGGAGAGAGAGGGCTTCATATGTTCTTCTCGTAAGGGCTAGTAAACCTGGGCAGGCCGTAGGCCCCCCTAATGACCAGGTGTATGTGGTCAGTAGCAAGTGGCTGGCTCAGTGGCATGCTCTTACCTCCTCGCTCTAGGAGGTCCATACTTAGTTATCACTGGCTGACTGCACATTTTATAGGTACAAAAGTAACTTCTCAAGCAGCTGTTACTTACTTGATACATGCAGATGAGCAACTGTGACCACACACTCAAAGCTTCCTTCTCTGGCTTGTTCACAGGGGCCTTGGGTAAAGCGCCTAGTAAAGTTACAGATGCTCTTCCAGAACCTGAACCCATGGGTGCTGCCGCCGCCGCTGTTGAGGAGGAGGAAGATATTGAAGCAATGCAGTCACGCTTGGCTACGCTCCGGAGCTAGATTCCTGGGTACAGACTGACTTTTGGTTTGCTCTGGAATGTTCTATCCATGTACGGCTTTATATGTGAAAGTACCTTCTGTAATATACTTTTTCCACCCCCCTGGGTTTGTATTCTATAAGAAATTATTTTTACCATTTTTCTGTTAAACCTGTGAGAGGGTGTGGGGAAATGGAGGTGGAGCTGTGATGTCCTGTATGATTTTCAAGAGAAAAACCCTGAAATATGTTCTTTGCATCAAGTAGCATCTTCCCCCTAACAAAGCACTTTCATTGGCTTAAATCTGCTGCCCAAACCACTTGATGTTATCAAGTCTGTACATTTTTTTCCTGAAACACTACAAGCACGTTTATTAAAATGTGTGCTTTTTAATCCTTGCCTCTTGAATCTGCTTTGACCTTGCATTGCTGTTTTAAAAACCATGCTGTGCCCTATTTTGTTAAAGCTGGGAAAAGTCGTCCAGAAAGGAAAGTCTAGTCTTCTTACAACATCCTTCCTCCAAGGCTCACAAAGCATTTCATCCTAATCCTAAACTAATCCTCCCAGCAGTCACAATGATTACATTGTAGATAGCCCTGCTGCAGAGAAACCAGGAAAATAAGACTTCGTTGGGTGAATAGCCATAGAAGCAGTCACTCCCCCCCCTTCACACTGTTTAAAGTTTGCAGTGCTCCCCACTCTTCCCAGAGTGCTCTCCAGTACACCCCTTCCAGGACTACTAACCCCGGTAGGTCACAGGGGGAGCTATCTAGACACAGATGGTAAAAACTCTCGTGTCAGTAGCCTGGGGAGCTATTTCTCTTCCTTGTTCATGAATGGTTGTGAAGGTTCCCCTAGCTGTAGGGATTTGGTCTTTCCCCACCAAGTGCCATGACTCTTCAGCAGGGAGTAAGGACAGTGGCTAAAAAAATAGGAGTCAGGCTTTCCAATTTTATGATTCCCACCACTTAAAGTTACTCAGCTACATGTAATCCAGGCCAGTTGGTACTCTCTAAAAGCAGGCATAAAGAGTTGAGACAAGTTTCCTCTATTCAAGATGTAGAGTGATTGTTAGCTGGTCTCCCTTAGCAATAGCCTGCTCGCTAGGATACCTCACATTAGGCATGATCCTTTGGGATGGGTTGTTCATGGCCACTGCACTTCTCCATAGAAAACCATGCATTCAGCCCCCTACAGTGCTCTTGGTCCTTGTGCCTTCTACCTACTTAATGGATGTAGGGCATCCCCAGAACATCCCTTAGTTCTGGAAAGAGCATGGTTACTGTAGCCATAGTTTCTTCAAGTGCTTGTGCACATGTACACCACAAAGGATTCCAGAGACGGGGTGGGAGATAAAAGTTTACCTGACCAAGGGATGACAGCCCTGCCAAGATCAGCTCCAGCTCTCAGTGCTGCTCATCAGGTTTATCAGATGCTCTCCATCTCCACAAGCAGGAGCTGTACTAGTCTACAGCCCTCAAGAAAAGCAAACCTCATGGTCCTTTAGATCCTCTCTCAAAAACACCACAAGTACCCAAAAGCTTGCAATTAAATATTTTTTTTTGCAAAAATCTAGCTGGTCTAATAAAAGATATCGCCTCTACCATGAGTTCTGATGTATACATATGGGTGTCTAAAGTCTAATATAGCTTTTCACCCTGTCTGGAAGTCACTGTAGACAGCTTGGTGCTTCTGAGGTAAAAGACTGCCTTGTGTACAAGTGGGGTGCAATTCAAAACTTTCCTCTCTAGAAGTTGGCTTGGGAAAGACAAACAAATACCAGTAGATGTAAGCACTTGGCTTGGGGGGTGGGGTGGGAATCAGATTACCAGGGGCTGGATGGTCTCATGGCTAGGCTGTTGCTACAGGAGAAAGCGCTGGAGCACCTACAGTTTCTTCCACTCACTTAACAGATGCCGCTAAAAAAAAAAAAAAAGCCCAACAAGGAGAGCTCAAGAAAGTGAAAGCCTTGTCTGGAGATACTCATTCCCATTTGTTCCAACTTGCCAAATAGGAGTTAAAAACTGTGTATTTTCCTTCTCTACACTGAGGATGCCTAATGCAAAAAAAAAAAAAAAAAAAAACAATGCACTCAAAACTAGAAGTGATCTGGAGCAGGACAGGAAATTCAGCTCCCTCTAGAAGGCAAAGACCATAGAGCCAGCACTGGAGTAAGAGGCCTTGGTCTTTCGATTCAAGTAAGACAAAGTAAAGCGGCCCAATGAACTCCAGTTAAAAACACACACAAATGAGACTATAAGAGTGAGGTTATACTGAAGTTGGTTCCCTAGACTTCAGTTCAAAGCTCTTTTCCTTTGAAGAATGCCAAGTAGCAGTTTCTACCCTGGAAAACTCTGTGTGCTTACAAGGGTGTAAAGTTCAAAATCACATGGAAATCACTTTGCAGAGAGGCTGAGAAAGAAACAATCTTTCAGTTCTACCTAGGAGTTGTATGGAGACCCTTCCACTATTAGGAACCAAGAATCAGAGAAGGCCACAAACACTAGTTTAAGCTGGGACATCAACATTTCAAACAGAGGCATTTTTACTGAAAAGGGCATTTAACATTTAGAAATTTAAATATATTTAACTAACAATGGTTAATCTCCATTCCATGTTAATATACAAGAGCTCAATGCTAGTTCTACATTAATGTAACACTTAAGAACTCTATTCTCAGTACACTTAAGTGCAGGTTGGTTATTAAATCAAACAGCTTCATACTTCTTTCTAGTGCCCCTCCCCCCAACATAAATTTTAAAACCAAGTTTGATCTTTACAATATATCTCGACTGATTAACATTGTTCAAACATAAATCTGGAATAGTCTCCAACATAAATTCTATAGGAGGTATTTTTGTACAGCTTGGAGAGTAGCTCCATATAAAGTTCAATTGCAACTGAGCATTCACAGTCTGGCACAGTCCGCAAATATTTCTACATATACATCTCTCGGGTTTGTAAACATTAGAAGAATACACAGAACAAAGTACCGCGATCTGCTGGTACTGCTGAAAGGAAGATGAGGTAACATTCATATCATCTCAGTCCACAGAGGTCCTGATGGAGTAGTTTAAAACAGCTGCCAGTTTCATAGTGCATGGTTAAGGCTTGTCACATTATGGCCTACTGAGGCTGGATTCATTAGCTCTCAGTATCCCAACTGCATCCTTAACAGCGTGGTATATGACATTCTTCACCTAGCAGGAAAAAAAGTCATCTTTAAAACTGCAGAGATGATCTATATCAATTTGAAGAATTCTAGCCAGAGAGAGTCCTTGAGACAGTAAAAATGTTCTCTTCCCCCCACATGGCTTCTACCTGCTCAATGGTTCTACTGACTAAATTCAGAGAAATTCACTTAAAATTACCCCAAATAAAGGAGATAGCCAATTGTTAAAAGCCAAGTGGCCCCCAAGCCTATCACTGTATGCAAGCATGGTGAGAGAGGTAGTTAGGAGTTCAGGGAAGTTGTATTCTGTTAAAGCAAAACAAAGACATGTGGCAAAAAGTGCCAAAACCATTTAAAAGAATTTAAGAGGTTTATAAACCATTTACTAAAGTTACAGGTAATTGCCACTAGGGTCATTCTTCAAAACATGGTCACTTACAAATCAATTGAAGCATGAAAAACACAGGAGTTTTAATCCTCCTTTAGGTGCAACCCAAATATTGCATGGCTATTGACATCAACCAACCAGATTAAAAAGTTATTTAACCAGTTAAAAAAAAAGAAAAGAAAAGCAGGAGGGGGCAAAGGGGAAGGGTTACCTGCAGTTTATCTTCATGGTTCGTATGTGTATGGGACAGATATCTGAATTCCTGAGTGAGCCAGAAGCAATGTTTGACATGTTCTGGAGAAACGAAGTCTTCTGCTACTTTAATACAACTGTACAGATTATGAACCTGAGAAAAAAAAAAAAGAGAGAGCTATTAGCCATGAGCAAAGCCTATGAAGACAGCAAATCTGAAAGTGCCATTTGTCCTTGCCTGATGAGGAGCTCCTGCTGGAATGAAAACTACATCTCCCAGAAACTGTACGATAGCCCAGCCTTGAACTCCGTACTCCTGATGAAGACGTTTCCTCAGAGATCGGTCCAAGTACCAACTCTGGTCATGAATGGGATCGTGATCTACAGGATTCTCTTGACCTTGTTCTTCCGAGACCTGAAAAGGACAGTGACCCACCCAAAAGATGTTATGCACTGTATCAAATATCCATTTGTTATATTATGTACACACCCCTAAGCCAGACAATGGAACAATAACCAAAACCGTATGAATCAACAATGCAGGGTAGGATTCCTTCCATCACACTTGAAGATTTCTAAAGACAACAGCATAGCTTTATAGGCATGCCTGTTCCCACAGGCTAGTTAACTAATCAAAAGTAAAAGATTCCACACTTGACTAACTGATCTTCCCACCCTCCTGCGAAGAAGGCAATTATCCCCAGTTAACAACTGAGAAGTAGAAATAGAGGAATGAACTGGATTTGCCTGGGGCAGAGGCAGCCCACGTTGGAAACAGGACTGGAATTTGGTAATGCTATAGCCCAGTACAGCACGCAGCTCCTTGTCTTGTCATACAAATGTTTAAAGAGGGATGGATAAATGAACCTTGAAAATGTTCATTTAAGTCAAAAGTTGAAAACTTTGTTACTGTTAACCTCCCACGCTGATTTAGTATCTTGATTTGCCACTATTGCTTAAACATAGCTGGTGTACTGTTCTCCTCTCGACTTTCAGGAACTATTCTACCTTTTGCCTTTAAAACTTTCTGTGGACTTAATTTATCCTGCCATGTGGGTTTGGTCTCCAATTCCCCCCATCCCCTCACCCCCAAAGCCACTCCAACAATCCATCTACCAATAACTTATTTTCTACTCCTTCAGACATTTCAAAGTTTCTAGGGTCGGAAGGGACCTGAACAGATTATTGGGTCTGACCCCCTGCCCTGGGCAGGAATGAGCACTGGGATCATAATACCCCAGCCAGATATCTATCCAACCTAGTCACTCTTGACACCCTTTCAGTTCCTGTGACATTGGATGTGTTATTTAAGGCCAGAAGTAGGCCTCGTGACAATTTAGTCTGACTTCCTACATAACTCAGGCCATAAGAGTGGTGTGAATTTCTCCAGGTCTAGTAACTCTGGTTGAGTGAAAGCATTTCCTTTTTAAATGACAATTTTCATTTAAAGGTTCCCAGTGATGCAGAATCTCCCACAACCCGGGTTTAATTGTTTCAGTGGTTGACTTTAGATGTAAATCAGAAAAATGCTAAAAAGATACAAACTTTATATTTTTTTTTTTAAATGTCACTTCCAAACCTCCCCTTTTCTCCCCTCAAAAATGTTCTGAAGCCAGACATCACTGGGGTTCTCACATCACTGAAATTCTGGCTGATCCCAGACAGATTTCAAAACCTGCCTGGTTCCTTGCATCCTGCATACCTAGTTCTCTGCTGCCTGCCTGACCGGCTTCAAGTCAAGAGACTCAGACTTCTAGAGCCTGCAGCTTCAGCTGCCTGCTGGAGGGGACTGCCCTGAAGCAGGAGCTTGAGTCCCTTTCACGGAGAAATCTAAACTATTTGGGTTTGGCTCTCAGGTGGACTGAAGCATGATTTCAACATGTAGAAGTCTTCCATAGGACAGAATCCTCCCCCCCCCCACTTCTGGGCTCCTCAATGAAAATTATGCCTTATTTCTAACCGTAGAGCTTTGGTCTCTGGATTTTGTTATGCTGTTGCCTGCTTGACTGGAGAGCCCTCTTACCAAGAGTGATATGTGCGCACCAGTTCAGTTACTCTGTAACCTTCTCTTTGATAAACTAAATAGTGGGAACTTAAAAGAGCTCATGCTTTCCAGTCTTTCACCCTTCTGTGGCTCTTCTCTGTACCCTCCCCAGTCTTTTCACACCCTTCTTCAAGTGCTGACACCAGAATGGAGAGTAGCACCACAGCATTTCAACCAGGGCCAAATACAGAGATACAACCACCTCAATAACCTTAGTTGGTTTTCTCCTTTATTCATACAAAAAGAGAACCCAGGGAACTTCAGACCAGTTAGTCTCACCTTCAATACCTGGAAAGTTACTGAAGCATATTATAAAAGAAATCCATTTGCAAGCATCTGAAGGAAAGGTTGATCATGAGCAGCCCGCATGGATTTACTAAGAACAAGTTGTACCAAATAAGACTTGATCTCTTTTGACAAAATAAATTACTTGAGTCAATGAAGAGAGTGCAGTGGATATAGTGCATCTGAACTTCAGCAAGGCTTTTGACAAGTCTCACACAATCTTCTTATAAACGAATCGGAGAAACGTGAGCTGGACAAGTCTACTATAAGGCAGATAAACAACCTGGCTCAATAGCGAAGTGCAATTATAGACAGATCCATGTCAGAATGGCAGGTTTCAAGTGGAGTCCCCCAGGGTTCTCTCCAGTGCCCAGTGCTGTTCAATATGTCTATTAATTATTTAGATGCCAGAATAGATTGCTTCTTGAGCACATTTACAGACAACGTGGAACTGGGAAGGGCTGTGAACATGCTGGAAGACAGAAGTTCAATTCAGAAGGATCTTGACAGACTGGAGAGCTGGGCTGGAGCTAACAGGATGAAGTTTAATGCTGACAAATGCAAGGTGTCAAAAAATACGAATACACAGTAGGTGCCACTTGGCTGGATGGCAGCACTATGGAGAAGGATCTAGGAGTTATGGTTGATACAGTTTCATATTGAGTCTACAAATGTTATGTAGCTGTAAAAAAAGGCAAATGCCAGTTTTGGGATGCATTAACAGAAGTATGAAGTGCAAGACGTGGGAGGTGATAATGCCTCTTTACAGTAGATAAGGCCTAAACAGTACCAAGTATTACGTGCAACTTTGAGCTCCACATTTTTAAAAGGATGTGGAGAAGTTAGAGCAGGTCCATAGGTGGGTGACAAAAAATGATAAAGGATGTGGAAGGCATATGAGATGTCAAAGTGCTTTTCCACAAGCTGAACATGCCTAAGAGGGGACATGATAATCTTCAAATATCTGAAGGGCTGCCATAAAGAGGAAAAGCACCTTTGGTCTCTTGCTGCAGAGAACAGGACAGGGGCCAATAGCTTGAAGCTGCACCAAAGTAGGTTTAGACTGGATATCAGGAAAAACTTCTCTGTTAGAACAGAAAGACAGTGGAATAGACTGCCTAGCAAAGTTGTGGCATCTCCATCACAGGATGCATCCAAGAGAAGGTTGGACAAGCAATGATCTACAAGTGGCTATGCCTATGCTCTACTATGGGCATCTTCTGGGTTTTGTTGTTCGCTGCCTGGGGCTGGTAAGGAATTTCCCCCCTCCTGCTGCTACAAGCGTCAGGGGGTGGGGGTTTTTACCTTCCTCAGAGGCATTGGGTGTTGGCTGCAGCCAGGGCTGAAGACTGACAGGGATGTGCCAATGCTGCTGCTGGGACTAAAACTTGGAGGTTCCTGGCTAGAGAGGGTCTGCTCACGGTCAGCTCAAATGCCATAACTGGGATCAGGAAGTAACTTTATCCCACAGTCAGACTGGTACAGACCGGGATTTTTGCCTTCCTCCTTAGCAGGAGGTATGGCCATCTTCCTTGGATCTCTCAAGCATATTTTAACAACCTTTACAGCAGGAGGACATTGGCCACTGTTGTCCCTATACCTTTACCTATGGCAAGTCAAGGTGTTATGTCCTGCGGTTGTGTCAGGATTCACTATGGTTTTGCTACTATGTTAGACAATGAATTTGTATAGAATAGCTTGGATAGGAATTATCCAGCATCAGGGAGCAAATTGGCTCCTGTTCCTGCCTGAGGCAGGGGGTCAGACCTGATGATCTGTTTAGGTCCCTTCCGACCCCAAGTACTACTATGCTATGACCTCTGGGGGTCCTCCTTCCAGCTCTACTTTTCTCTGATAAGGTTTGCATTAGCCCAAAGTATTGCACAGCAGAAGCTCATGTTCAGAACTTTATCCACAAGCCCTTTCCAGCATTGCTACTTGTCCTCCAGCCTACAAACATAAGAACACAAAACTGGAATGGTGATCCTGGGGGAGGTGATCCTCCCCCTCTATGCCGCACTGGTCAGGCCGCAGCTGGAGTACTGCGTCCAGTTCTGGGCGCCGCACTTTAAGAGGGATGTGGACAGCATCGAGAGGGTCCAGAGGAGGGCCACTTGTATGATCAAGGGACAGCAGGGTAGGTCCTATGAGGAAAGGTTGCGGGACCTGAACCTGTTCAGCCTTCAAAAGAGAAGGCTGAGGGGGGATCTTGTGGCCTGTTATAAACTGGTTGGGGGGGGGAATCAGCAGGCGCTGGGGGAGTCCCTGTTCCCCCGAGCGCCGCAAGGAGTGACCAGGAACAATGGTCACAAGCTGGCGGAGGGAAGGTTTAAGTTGGACATCAGGAGGCGCTACTTCACGGTCAGGGCGGCTAGAGTCTGCAACCGGCTTCCAAGTGAGGTGGTGCAGGCTCCCACCCTGGGGGTTTTTAAGAGGAGGTTGGAAGACCACCTTACTGGGGTCATTTGACCCCAGTGCTCTTCCGGCCATGGCAGGGGGTCGGACTAGATGATCTGCTCAGGTCCCTTCCGACCCTAGAAACTATAACTAACAATGAAACTATAAAAAACTATGAAACTATGGAAAGTGTTCCTCCTCCCAAAATCGTCATACAACCCCCTGCATCTGCAGGTAAATCAACTGTCCAGAAGAGTCCACAAGAATATTTACTGCAAACTCATTGGTACACCACACCCACAAATCAGCACATTGTGCATGTGTGCAGCATTTATAAATTTAAAAAAAAATCTACATGGTTTTAAAGAAAAGAAGATAATGCTTTCCCAATGCAGTAGCAGAAAATTGATATGGAGTAAAGAATGTAGGCCATATTTAGCCTAGGCGCATTACTGTACTTTTAGCTGTGCTGAAATTCTGCATTTCCAGCAACAGACTCATTGTTCCGTGGAACATTTTATCTGACCTTTTTCAGGAATTCCCGGATCTTCTCTGTATCTTTGGCAGCATAAATGTGCCACAGAGCTCCAGGTTTCTCTCGGCTTTCAGTAAAGCGCTTAATTGTCAACTCATCCGAGTCACCGTCTTGTATGGTTTTAAGTACTTCTGTCAGAGATGAGAGACAGACAGAATAGACACACTTACCACAAGGGCTCTGCTTCCTGCCACACATGACCCCAATGAACAAAAGTTTTACCTTCTTCCTGATTAACCTGCCCTCTGGGTATGCCCACATAAACCATAACATTGGCTGCATCCGAGACATCTAAATGGAGGTTTGTTGTGCCATATTTTCTATCTTCTGGAGTTATTAAACCTGAAAAGTTGAAGCAAATGAAATGGATCAGTGAGCCAAGAAAGAAGCATGCACCACAGAAAGCAGCACTATTTGAAAAGCCAGGGTAGGCATTTAGAGTACATTTAACCTGACTGAAGCATTACAAAAGGTTTCCAGTACCCCGACTGAAGTGTCGCCCCACTATCGACTTATAAAATGCAGTTTCAGAATTGGCTTACAGCCTACCACATTGTAGCCGTTTGCATCCACAGCTAACTTTGCTATGGCATACAGAAGTCAGGCACAAGATGTGCCAGGACAGTGTTTCTACAGTTATGTAGGCAGGGGAAATTCACCAAGCTCAGCCAAACAAGCCACAGCTGCTTCACGCAGGAGTAATGCCACATCTGCAAGGCATCATGTGCTGATTAATTAGCATAGCAGAAGGTTGACTGATGCAGTCACTCAGCAGTGCTAATTAGCCTGCCCACAGTGCCTTGTGGAGCCACTGCTTCGAAATTAAAAGGCTGCCTTGCCTGCAGAAGTTGCAGTGTGCTTCAGAGCTGCTGCTAGACATGATTAATTCCCTGTATAGATGAGATCTGTGATGATTCAGACTGATCTAATTCTCAGGCAATCCCTGTTCACGCTGCATAAGGCATTTGAACTATCAACAATCATATTAAAAATAAATAAGAGTCAAGCATCCAACAGAAGCATGCTTGAAAAATAAACTCTTCTATTCTTCAAGCTCCTGCATGCACATGGATGAAGATCCGAAAAGATTTCAGGGAGAGTTAAAAGGAAGATATGGATCAAAGAAAGAGATCCTGAAAGACGAAGCAGAAGTAGCACAGAGCTGTGGGACAGTAACAAAGTACATAGATAATATATTGGAAGTGCAGCAGACTGAGTTCATGAATTACAGGACAAGTGTTACTAGCTTAAATGCAAGACAATAGAAGATCTACACAAAGCATATTCAACTAACTATTTCCGAGAATTGCTGGGGCTCCCAACCAAACAATTTATTCCCTTGGTCAGTTCACCAAGATCACAAGGGCTCTACATCAGTAGCTCCCAACCTTTTTTTGCTGTGACCTTAAATCCAGGTCGTGACCCCCGCCCCCGACTCACTCATGCCTGGTGGTGCCAGCAGAGCCCAGGCCAGGCTGGGATTGTGAGGGGCAGCAGCAGTGCGAGTTGGATGGACCGTGCACTGGGGGAGCCCTGCAGGCAGGAGGGGTGGAGTGAGGGGCAGACCCCCGCAACCCTGATTTGGGTTGTGCCCCAAGGTTAGGAGCCTCTGCTCTACTTAATTCTGAAGGTAGTACTTGCTAGAACACAGAAAGTGCAGGCTACAGAATTAAAAAAAAAATATTGCTTACCATATGCATTGTACATTTTAGGACCCAAATCTGGTCGAACAAAATAGTTAGGAAGTCTCGAGGCAAGGTTGAGTTTGCCGCCCCTTCTAGTGTATTCTGGCAATGGAATGTTATTCATCAAGTCATCAAATCTGCAACAGAACAAATACAATTCATGCTAAATAACAACATGGAAAGCCACAGGCCAAATAAAAAAAAAAGAGGGAAAGAAAATGTTTACTGTAATCAAAGTCTTGCGTTACCACGTATAGGGTCTCTTTACATGAGCACAGAGACTGCTCCAATGTGCCAGAATTCTCAATTAATCAAGTCTGCTTGAGCATGGCAATTGCTGCTCCCCAGCAGCCCCCTGCATCAGCATCCCCATGCTCATTGAACGAGCTTTAGTTGAAATGCCCCACTGCCATTTTTAAGTGCAGGGACACTGATGCAGGAGATGTGGCAATGCTTTAATTAGAGTGGCTCTTGGAGCTGCTCTAATTAAAGTACCACCCTCCCCACCTCTGGGAGGAGTGTGTAAGAGTGCCCAGTTATCCATGTCTAACAACAAAAGAAAAGGACAAACAAGACATGAGAATGAGACAGATGTAATAGCTGGATTTAGTACATTAATTGTTCTACTGAAATATGCTGAAGCCTCTCATGTCAACTATTTGTCCAATTTTCTAAATGCATGTAATTTTCGTGAAGACTTCTCAAATTTAACCCAGTTTAGGTTTGTCAAAACAAAACTTTACAGAACAAGCTGTGTTTTAGACTAAAGGTTAATCACCCTACTGCACCAAGAGCTGAGATCATTTGAGAACTCATTCAAGAAGCTCACTGCATACTTGCATCTTACACCTAGCCATCTCACAGAAACAAGTTAAGTTTGACTGTATTACGGATCACTATTCAAAGCTGAAGTGGATGTTTCAAAATGGACAGCATTTAAGTACTCTTATTCGGCTGATGTACCAAATACAAGTAGTTACTGCCCATCGCCCCAGTTCTCCATATGTGCAAAGTTCATACCGAGAGGGCATCATGTCTCTGAAGTCTTCACCTGGAGGCCAGTCCTTCAGCTTCAACACCATTGGCTCTCCTTCTTCTGTCTTAAGGCGACCTAACATTAAGAGTTGACAGTATCAGTTTCCTGCAATTTGTAAGTCTTATACTAAAAATGGTTTGTCTTAGACCCCATCAGTTGCAATTTTGCTTCAAGAAATCAATGCCCACTGCAGCCTTACAAACAGCTTCTCAATTTGCTTGGCTAAAGAACTGGTTAGAAATTAATTATTCAGTACCCCGTGCTGGAGTTTCTTACCCCCACTCTGTTCCCGCCCCCTTAAGAATAAGTGTTTTAAGAAGGATCTCTCCAGATGGGAGCAGAGGAGGAAGGTAGACAGGTAACAGGAATACACTGAAGCCAAAAAACACAGTTCTCCTGGGAAGTATTTCTGTTCTCTTTGAAGTAACGTCTTTGCCACTTGTCTAGCAAGCACCATAACCCTCCAGAAGATGGCAAAAGGAGCTCCAGTTAATCCAGATTTGCATAACTACCCTCCCAAGGCAAACTGATCAGGGGAGCAGAGAAGCAAATAGGACAGTTTGCAAGCAGTTCACAGGTCAGTTTGCCACCCCTCTCTTTGAAGGTGAGCCTGAAATGTAAGATCCTTTTTTAAAATGTAATTAGGACTAACCTACAGTTATTTTAGCAGCTAAAATTCAGCAGCTAGACCAAGACTTAAGCCCCTTGTTTAACCAGAGTCCAGAGCAAGGGGGAGCTTGCTTGGAAACTCTTTCATTCCTTCACTGTATGCTTGCTGAGAGGAAAGAGGCTGCAGGGAAAAAGGAACCCTTCAGATGAGGGAACAGCAAACAGGTCAGCTACAGAGGAGTTTGTTAGGGAAGATCTTATTTGGTAAGAGAAGCAAGAGGTAAGAGGCAACAGATTAAAAGACCCAGAGACATGTCAATCCCAGACCCACTGCTACTTCCAGCTCTTTCTCTGCTTCCAACTGTGAGATGTCTGGCCAGACAGGACTGCAGGCCATTGAGGCTTCCACCCAGGTCCTGCTTTGGTGCTGTGCAGACTGCAGCTTGCCAATTCCTTTCCGTGTCAGGCAGGTGGGGGAGTACCTACAATGCAAGCGGTGCATTCTGGTGGTGTCCCTCAGGGAGAAGGCGAGAGAGTTATAGGAGGAGGCAGCAAGGCTCTGAAGCATCCTCCACCATGACATCAATTCCATGCTGGAGGAAACCTCTACAACTGTAGAGGATGGACGGCCTGAGGTGGTGCTAGAAAAGGAAGAGGGCATGGACTCCCAGGAAGGGGGAGCTGGAAGCAAGTAGCAGTCATCCCCACGTACAGTGGTTTGCCCAGAGAGCATATATGGAGTGCTAGCAGCAAAGGAGGAGGGGTGCATTCCAGTGGTGGAAGACAGCAGGCCAGGAATCTCCAAGGTGGCGAAGATCAAGACCTCTACTCCAAAGATGAAGCGATGGAGGGATCCACCTGCTGGCCTGACCTGTTGTCTAGAGAGGCCTGCTGCCTGCCTGGAGCCTGGATCCGAGATGTCATGGAAGGACCACCAAGACTTGTCCAACACTCTGACTACTACCCCATGCTGCTCATCCATGTGGGCACCAATGACACTGCCAGGGATGACCCTGAGCAGATGAAGAGCGACTCCAAGGCTCTGGGTGCAAGGGTGAAGGGGAGGGGGGCACAGGTGTTTTTCTCAATCCTTCCAGTCAAGGGGAAGGACCCTGGTAGGAGCAGATGCATCCTGCAAATCAATGTATGGATGCTCAGGTGGTGTCCCCAACAGGGATCTGACTTCTTCAACCATGGGATGTTGTTCCAATGATTACTAGGAAGAGATGGGATCCACCTGATGAAGAGAGGGAAGAGCATCTTTGCAGACAGGCTCACTAACCTAGTGAGGAAGGATTTACACAAGGTTTGCAGGGGGATGGAGAACAAAGCTCTGAGGTAAGTGGGGGAGTGGAGGACCTGGAGGAAGCAGAAGTGGGCTGCAAGGGAGACTATTCTTCCTGATAAAGTAGGGCAATTGGCTAGTCACCTCAGGTGCCTGTACACAAATGCAAGAAGCCTGGGAAACAAGCAGGAAGAATTGGAAGTCCTTGTGCAGTAGAGGAACTATGACGTGATTGGAATAAAGAGACTTGGTGGCAGCTCATGTGACTGGAGCACCATCATGTATGGGTACAAACTGTTCAGGAAGAACAGGCAAGGGAGAAGAGAAGGAGGAGTTGCGCTGTATGTAGGAGAGCTGTGTGATTGCTCAGAGCTCCAGTATGAAACCTGGAGATAGGCCTGTTGAAAAAGTCTCTGGGTTAAGGTTAGAGGGAACAACAACAACAATAAGGCTGGTGTTGTGGTGGGTGTGTGCTACAGACCACCAAATGAGGAGCCTGAGGTACATGAGGCTTTCTTCAGGCAAACAGCAGAGTTTGCCAGTGACAGGCCCTGGTTCTCATGGGGGACTTCAAATCACCCTGACATCTGCTGGGAGGACAACAGAGCAGTGCACAGGAAGTCCAAGAAGTTTTTGGAGAGTATTGGGGACAACTTCCTGCTGCAAGTGTTGGAGACATTAACTAGCCGTGACAGCCAAAACCAGAGGGATTAATAAGCAATAAATATGTGCTTCTTAGAGGCATTTGGTATTTCGCCTAAACAGGTAATATTAGTTAATATGAAGCTTGTAAGTTTGTAAACTGCAAATGTAACTTCTGTCATAAGTTTAACCAAAATGATAAAATTAACTGTTCGTGGAACTGACTGGGCCCCATAGGCAAAGCTGTGGATGTGAGATTAGCTGACCTAACAGTTTCTTCTCAGGGTTCAGCTTTGATGATAAAAAACTGGATCCAACTGCCTGGCACACCCAACACATTCCACGAAAGCACATCCCAAGAAAGCATATTCAAATGAAACCTAAACGGGGTTCGGCTTAGGCAGAGCAATGTCAATTTCAAACCTAAAGGTGCTGCAACATAATTTGCCTATTGGATAAACCTGAGTATGGGTAGTAACCTTTTATGATAATTTTTGACACTTTTCAATCCCATAGCTATAGGGCAAAATTATGAGTGGCTCTAAAGCCAACAGATTAGCAACTAGATATAAAAAGCACATGCATCAGGTAACCAACAAGGAGGGAACAAAATGGTCATTTCTGTTCCATGCCCGGACCCTGGACTCCCAGTGTGAGCGAGGATCGGATCCTGATCAAGGGATCTTCCCCGGTAATCCCTCTGACAGCGTCGATTGGGGATGCCTGACTTCACTGGAATCACTTGATGCCTACCTGGCATTGAGGGACTATCGATAAGTTGCCAACCCACGTCTGTCTATCTGTTGTTTTGAACAGCCCAGTGGCTAATACCCTCGCAGTGCCCAGCTGGCCTGTGACAGAATTGATCTATTTATCTGTTATCATCATCTGTTATTTACTATTAGCTCTTTAATACTGCATTATCTGATTATCACATTTATCTTTCTGTTAACTGTTGTGCGTGTGTAAGCTATAATAAGTTTGCCTTTACTCCACTCCCAACTCTGCCTCCTCGATCTAAAACTGAACCAAACTGCCCAGTTAGCCTGTGACAGAATTGATACACTCAGTGCCCAGCTGGCCTGTGACACTAGGAGCCATGCTTTTCTTGACCTACTGTTCACAAACAAGGAAGAATTGGTGAGGGATGCAGAAGTAGATGGCAAGTTGGGCAGCAGTGACCACAAGATGACTGAGTTCAGGATCCTGACAAAAAGAAGAAAGGAGAGCAGCAGAGCATGGACCCTGGACTTCAGAAAAGTAGACCGATTCCCTCAGGGGACTTATGGGAGGCCAGTCCAAAGGGGAGAGGAGTCCAGGAGACCTGGCTGTATTTTAAAGAAACCTTACTGAAGGCAAAGGAAGAAACCATCCCAATGTGCAGGGAGATTAGCAAGTGTGGCAAGTGACTAGCTTGGCTTAGCAGAGAACTCTTTGGTGAGCTTAAACACAAAAAGGAAGCTTACAAGAAGTGGAATCTTAGACAAACTAGGGTGAAGTATAAAAATATTGTTTGGGCATGTAGGGATGAAGTCAGGAAGGCCAAAATGCAATTGGAGTTGCAGCTAGCAAGGGATGTGAAGGGGAACAAGAAGAGTTTCCACAAGTGTCAGCAACAAGAGGAAAGTCAGGGAAAGTGTGGGTCCCTTACTGAATGGGGGAGGCAACCTAGTGACAGATTTGAAGAAAAGGCTGAAGTGCTCAATGTCTTTTTCACCCCAGTCTTCGCAAGCAAGGTCAGCTCCCAGACTACTGCACCAGGAAGCAGAGTTTGGGGAGGAGGTAAGCAGCTCTCAGTGGCAAGAGAACAGGTTAGGGACTGTTTAAAAAAGATGAACATGTACAAGCCCATAGGGCTAGATGCAATACATCTATGGGTGCTGAGGGTGTTGGCTGATGTGACTGCAGAGCTGCTGGCCATTATCTCTGAAAACTCATGGCAAATTGGGGGAGGTCACATGGTTGGAAAAGGGCAAATATAGTGACCATCTTTAAGACAGGGAAAAGGGAGGATCCAGGGAATGAGAGACTTGTCAGTCTCACCTCAGTCCCTAGAAAAATCATTGAGCAGGTCTTGGCTCTGTGGATGCTGAGAAAGTCAGCGCATATACTATATCTTGACTTTAACAAGACTTTTGGTACAGTCTCCCACAGTATTCTTGCAAGCAAGATGAGGAAATATGGGTTGGATGAATGGACTGTAAGATGGAAAGAAAGCTGGCTTGACTGCCAGGATCCACAGGCAGTAGTCAATGGCTCAATGTCTAGTTGGCAGCTGGCATCAAGAAGAGTGCCCCAGGGGTCAGTCCTGGGGCTGGTTTTGCTCTGTATCTTCATTAATGATCTGGAAGATGGGATGGAGTGCACCCTCAGCAAGTTCGTAGATGACATCAAGCTGGTAGGTGTAGCAGATATGCAGCAGGGTAGGGCTAGGATTCAGAGTGACCTAGACAAATCAGAGGATTGGACCAGAAGAAATTTCATGAGGTTCAAGAAGGACAAGTTCAAAGTCCTGCACCTAGGGTGGAAGAATCCCATGCACTGGGACAGGCTGAGGGCCGACTGGCTAAGAAGCAGCTCTGCAGAAGAGGACATGGGGGTCACAGTGGACAATAAGATGGATATCAGTCAGCAGTGTGCCCTTGTTGCCAAGAAGGCTAACAGCATACTGGCTGCATTAGTAGGAGCGTTGCCAGCAGATCGAGGGTAGTGCTTATTCTGCTCTATCCTGCACTGCTGAGGCCACAACTGGAGTACTGTGTCCAGTTTTGGGCCCCCCACTACAGAAAGGATGCAGACAAGTTGGAAAGAGTCCAGCAGAGGGCTATTAAAATGATTAGGGCACTGGGGCACATGACTTATGAGGAGAGGCTGAGGGAACTGCATTTATTTAGTCTGTGGAAGAGAAGACTGAGGGGGGATTTGATAGCAGCCTTCAACTACCTGGGGTGGGGGGTTCAAAAGAAGATGGAGATGGACTCTTCCTCGTGGTGGCAGATGACAGAACAAGGAGCAATGGTCTCAAGTTGCAGCAAGGGAAGTTTAGGTTGGGTATTAGGAAAAACCTCTCACCAAGATGGGAAGCACTGGAACAGGTTACATAGATAGGTGGTGGAATCTCCATCTTGGAGGTTTTTAAGACCTGGCTCAACAAAGCTCTGGCTGGGATGATCTAGTTGGGGATGGTCCTGCTCTGAGCTGGGGATTGAACTAGATGACCTCCTGGAGGTCCCTTCCAACTCTCATTTTCTATGATAAACATCAGCTCTAGGGACCAAGCTGAAGGAGCTGCATGCAGAGCATTTTAGCTCTTGTAGAGCTAACAGAGCCCTGGGGCACTGACACCCCGCTGGCATTTAACAATACCAGCCTAACCCACTCTGTGCACCAAACAGAACTGCATTCCCTTTGCACTGGTGCGTAGGGCAGGTCTACACCACTAGTACAAAGCTAGCGACTACTGTACTGACACTAGATACAATATGCCCCCTCTGTACTCACTGTCACCCAACAAACTGGAAGCAGTATAAGTGATTTACTGGTACATGCACAGCACCCACATTAAGCTCTCCAGAGAGGCAGGAATGCCCTCAGTGCTACACTACTTCTGAACTATAAGGTACAGCACTCCATACAGCCATAATGGAGTGCTTCAGACATGGCCTTTATTTAAAAAAACAAAAATAAAACCCAACAAGTGTCACTGGCTTTCTGAACAGTTTCAGTCTTTGCCTAGAAGATACGGCAGGGCTTCAGAGCTCTCCTGACACCTGGTGTTCAGAGTCCAATGTCTGCTGAAGCAAATAGATGCCTCCCTTGCAGGAGGCACTTTTTAAATACTGATAAGTCTGGACTGGCCAGTTCCACCTTGTCAGCGCTTAGACATGTTGCATTTCAGGTTCTACTCAACTAGTTGGGCAAACAACAAAAGGATGGTTTCATTAAGCTGGGGGAGTGCCCCAACTTCCTCAAAGTGCTTACCCAGAGAACCTCTGGGCTAGTCTAAGACACCAGAATACAAGATTATTTAAATGACACCTTTCCATCCTAGCACACAAGCCGAGGACTGGGGGGGGGGGGGGGGGGG